TTATCAGCTTATCCATCTGCAAAAAATGAGAAAGAGTTCTCTGGGGAGAACTCTAAGGGTGAAGCTGGACAACCTTTGCTAAACAGATTAGATGTGTGACTTGTGGATCAAATCAGTCATCTCAACGGAAATGCTGTCAGCTTGAACTGAAGGGGACATAGACAGAGCAAAACGAAGAAAGGCTGTAGGACTTCTGGGATTCTACAGGCGTGAAATGGATGGATAGAGCCTTCAGCTGTGAACAAGTGTTAACCTTCAAGAAAAGAGAAGAACAACCTTGAAGTGTATTCAGAAGCCAGCAGTGCTACCACTACCAACACAGGCCCAAAGGGCACAGGCCCAGAAGACAGGGCCACCACCCCCGTAGGCCTGGAGGACAGAGCATCAAGGCAAAATGGATTATTCTCAAGCCTTCAAATTGAATGGAATTCGCCCTGCTTGGTTTCAAACGTGCATAGGACCTATGACCACTCTCTTCCTTCCAATTTCTCCCTTTGTATATCCCATGCCTGTCCCACCATTGTATTTTGGAAGCAGATAACTTGCTGTATAGTTTCACAAGTTCATAGATGGAGAGGAATTTTGCCTCAAGATGAACTATATCCCAAGTTTCACCCATACCTACTTTAGATGATATTTAGATGAGAATTTGAACTTAAGAGTTGATGCTGGAATGAGTAATGACTTTTGGGTATGTTGGGTTTGGATGAATGTATTTTGCATGTGAAACAGACATGAATTTTGGAGAGGCCAGAAGGTAGACTATTATAGGTTGAATCATGTCCCCCCGAAAATCTATATGTTGAAGTCCTAACACCCAGTACTTCAGAGTGTGACCTTATTTACAAATAGGGCTGTTTCAGATGTTAAGAAGAGGTCATTAGGGTGGTCCTTTATCCAATATGACTAATGTTCTTATACAAAGGAGAAATTTGGACAGACACATGAACACAAGAACACCATGTAAAAATGAAGGTAGAGATCAGGGTGATACTTCCATAAGCCAAGGAATGTCAGCAAACCACCAGAAGCTAGGAGAGAGGCTTGAAACAGAATCTCTCACAGATCCTCTCCTTCTGAAGGAACCAACCCTGCTGACATCTTGCTCTTAGACTTATAGCCTTCAGAACAATTATACAATAAATTTCTATTGTTTATAGAAAGCCACCTGGTTTGTGGTACTTTGTTGTGGCAGCCCTGGGAAACTAACACAAGGAGTGACTGATAGAAATTTCTTTGGGGAATGATGAAAATATTCTAAAATTAATTGCAGTGATGGTTGCACAACTCTGTGACTAGACTAAAAAACGTTTAATTGTCCAAGTTAATGGGATGAATTTTATGGTATTATGGAATGTGAATTATATATCAATAAAATTGTTTAAAAAGAAAATTAAACATACAGCTACCCTATGATGGAGAAATTCCACCCATAGGTATATACCCAAGAGAAACAAAAGTTTATCATCACAAAAAGATTTGTACAAGAGTGTTTACTGAAGCTTTATCATGATAGACGAAAAGTAGAAACAGCCAAGAAGTGGATTAAGAGGAGAATGGATAAGCAAGATGCACTAAAGTCATACAATAGAATGCTACTCAGCAATAAAAAGGAGTGGACTATATACACAAGAAAAATCATAGAAGGACCTAAAAATATTATCTAAGTGGAGGGAAAATCCTTACACAACAGAATACAGACTCTAACAATACCGTCTCTATTAAGTTCTAGAGGGGGCCGGCCCCGTGGCCAAGTGGTTAAGTTCGCTCACTCCATTTTGGTGGCCCAGGGTCTCGCTGGTTTGGATCCTGGGCATGGACACAGCACCGCTTGTCAAGCCATGCTGAGGTGGCGTCCCATATGCCACAACTAGAAGTACCCACAACTAAAAATACACAACTATGTACCGGGGGGCTTTGGGGAGAAAAAGGAAAAATAAAATCTTTAAAAAAAAAAAAAACTTCTAGAATAGGCAAACTGAACTGATGGCTAATATAAAACATAACAAGGGCTGGCCCTGTGGCCTAGTGGTTGAGTTTGGCGCATCCCACTCTGGCAGCCCAGGTTCACAGGTTCAGATCCCTGGCATAGCCTATACCACTCATCAAGCCATGCTGTGGCAGTGACCCACATATAAAATAGAGGAAGATTGGCACAGATGTTAGTTAGGACCAATCTTCCTCAGCAAAAAAGAAAAAAACATAACAGCAGCTGCTGCTCAGAAAATAGAAAGTTGGTGGCAGATACCAGCTGCAAAAGGGTATGAGGGAACTTTCTGGAGTGATGTAAATATTTGATATCTTGATATGGTTTAGATTACATAGGTATATGGATTTGTCAAAGCTCTTCAAATGGTACACTTACAATCTATGCATTTAATTGTATGTAAATATGTTTTCAAAGCAAAAGGAAACTCTTGAACTCTAATACCACGCTGAAGTAGTTCAGGACAAGTGTACTGATAGCTGTACATTACTTTGAAATGCATCCAAAAAATTGGATGGATTGGTGGATATATTTTTTTACATCCATAGAAATAAGTTCTTTGTCTGCAGCTGGAGGGCTGGGATATTGGCCTTAATCCATTGACATAAGTTCAGTTGTCTGTGGAAAAGGGGATGAAAAGGAGAAAATTTTTGTGAAGATTCCTGAAAGGAGAGAGGAATGTGGAGTCAATAGAATGGTATCTCTTTCCCTTCCAGGCCACATAAACATCTGCCTGAGTCCTATGCAGAAAGAGATTGCAGGAAGTAGCAAAAAAAGTTGTTTTCAAAAGGAACTCCGCGAGACCTGAGACCATGAGCAGCATTGATTTGATGCCTAGGTGATGAAAAAAATATAGAACAGTGGTATTTACCTAGCTCAGTATGGTATGAGCCTGGCTCAGTGAATCCTGCAGGGAATGTGGTAGCCCTTTCTTTTGCCCCAAAGAATAGGGCAGCACCAACCCCAGTGGCAGCTATAGAGAGAAGATCTCACCTTCCAGTCAAATTCCTAGTAGCAGAAACCAACACAAGGACCCAAACAAGAAAAGCATGAAAAAAAATTTAGGGAGGTCACATAAGACATATCCAAGGGCTCTCAGCAGTAAATGAGTGATTTGAGGTAGACAAGATGAGAAAGCACAACCCAGTACAATTATAACTCCGTTGCTATTCAGAGGCTTGATGAAACTCATGTATCATAGATGGCTACTAAGTTAGAAAAATTAAGACTAGCCTCTTTTAATCTACTGTATTCCACAAACACATACACACCAAATGAGCCCAAAATGGCAAACACTAAAAAAAGAAGAAAAGAAAGGGCTCTGTTTTTTTATTGTAGTAGATAAGACAGGAACCACCTACCTAAGTAGTACTACCTACTCTCCCCACCTGAGCAGGACACACTCAGAATAGATGTAGATGATGGCAGGAGTGATGGTAATGACCTTGAAACATGACTTGGCTGTGTATATAATCGCCATTGAGCTTTTCATAGAAGAGCCAAACGAGTCTGGTTCAGTCTTAGGATGTAATCTGCACAGGATGGGTGCTTCACCCATCACAGCAGTCAGTGTTTGTTTAAAGCTCCAAACTTTGATAGTGTCCTCCACCAGGAGTTTCCCCATCAGGAGCAAATCAGTGCTTCCTATCCCCGTCATACTAGAAAAACCGCTTCTCTCTCATTGGCTTAATTCTTCCTAAAACCTATTCAAAAAAGAAGGGACCCGAATCATTATTAACTTGAATAATTTATCTTCCTTATGATGATGAAATTTAATAATATTTAAGAGTCGAAACATTTTATGGCCTTGTCAAACAAAACAGTACAAAATTTCTCTAACTGAACATTGTAAACTACAACACACTCCATATTTAAACTTAAATATTTTCTTTTTTCTAATTTTTATTTCTGTTTTTATAGCAGTAACATTGGATTATAACATTAAATTTAAATATTTTCAATACAAATTTTACTTCATTCTGTCCAATGTCAAATAATGAGTGTTCCTGAGGAGGATCCCAAGTAGAAAAAGTTAGACAATCTAACACAAAAGTGGATGAAAGTCTTGAACAGGTATATCACAAATAAGGATATAATAAGGATATGTAAATAGCCACTACACATGTGAAAAAGTGCTCAGCTTCATTAGTCATCAGTGAAATGCAAATTATATCACCATATGCCATCACTTTATACCCTCTAGAATGGGAAAAAAAGGCAGAAAATATTAGTTGTGGAAAAGGACATAAAGCAACAGGACCTCTCAGACACTAGGTGCAAATATAAATTGCTACAGCCAAATTGGAAGACAATTTGACGATATCTACTAAAACTGAACATACACGTGGCCAAATTCCACTTCCAAGTACATACCAACAGAAATACTTGCATATAAGCCTCAAAAAACATGTATAAGTATGTTTATCACAGCACTAGTTAAAAGATCCCAAAACCAGATACTACACAAATAACCATCTAAACTAGAATATTCACATAAATTGTGGTATATTCCCCGATGTAATACTATGCAACATTGAGAATGAATAAACTACAATTACATCAAACAACAGAAATAAATGTCATAAAAATGATTTAGCTTAAAAGAAGCCAGACACAAATGAATATCTACTGTATGATTCCATTTATGTAAAGCTCAAAACCAAGTACCAAGATTTATGCTATTTAGAAGTCAGGGTAGAGATTATCCTTCATGGAGTAGCGAGTGGTGGTGACTGAGATATTGTAATATTCTTTTTTTCATCTGGGTGCAGGTTCCATAGGTGCATTAAATTTGTGAAATTAATGTCGCTTATGATTTGTACTTTTTTGATTGTATGGCATACTTCAAAAAAAGTTTTTAGGAAATTTTTAATAAGGAATAAGTTAAAAGAAAAGAACAATACTGATGACAAAGAATTATCCAAAAGATTATTTCCAAAGGAGAGACAATGAATGCTTCTGAATAAAGAGAAACACAGCAGACACAGAAACACTGATTGGCTAAAGCCTTCGTTTTAATGGAATGATGCAACTGAGGAGGATCTGGGTACCCAGAGGAAATCAGCAGGAACCTCAGATACCACTATTTCCCAACCAGTGGAGGTAAATCCTTTGCGCTAATACAACACAGAGTTGCAGTATCACACAAAATATGGTATACTTCTTTTTTTGCACATGATCTCTTGCAAACACCTTTCAATCGCCAGCATGTAGAATAGATTCTTCTTATGTACATATTTAATCCACTTCTAACTGCCAACAAAAACAAAGGTAAATGTACAATGTCCTACAGGGTCATGATGCCATAGATAAATTAGATTGAAGTGTATATTTTATAACTTATTAATGGCAAATTGGATAGGATCAAAACATCTCAGTCATGTTATGGCTAGATACCCCTTTTTCAGTTGCTCTTAAGTTATTTTCCAGAGACCCTATTATGAGTCGTCAGTTCCCATGGTCCCCACTTACACAAATCACTAACCAACCATGTGCAGGTAACAGAGTTCAACAGATACAGCTTGGGACTATTTGCTGTGGAAAGAATATTTAGAACTCAGAGTAGTCCCAGGAGTTGCAGAGGCCCCATACCAGGAGGCTTGCAGGGTCTGGGATAGCACCAAGTCAGTCTGAGGTTATCAAAGTGTTGGCTTGAAGAAGGAAAGGTCACTAACCTAGAATTACAGAAGCCCATGCTTCTAGCCCTGCATTCCTAATAACTTTCTATGTGACTTTTAACCAAATGCCCTACTACCTGCCTTGGCTTAATCACAGGGCACTTGAAAACATCCCATGGGATAATAAGTGTGAAATGGTTTGAAATACCTGAAACACATATCTAAATCCAATGCTGGTCTTTTTCCTAACCTTAAGACCTGGGCACTTCTGGAAGCTGAGGGGTGGGGGAGAAGTGGTAGGAATGCAGTTTAAGAGGGTGAGGGTGGCTCTGAGTCACTGTAATATATTACCCACCTTCGTGTGCTAAGCCTTAACAGTCTCTCCACCCAGCCAGCCCAGGGACTACCTATTGGGCCTTTGTGGTGTGAGAACAATCAGTGTGGTATGACCAAAGGCTATTGGGAAGCAAAGTAGCGTGCTGTGTACCTGTTAGCCCTGGAACACCTCTCTGAGACAAAGGAGTCCAGTGGAGACACAGTGCAAAGTGTGATGCCAAGGGTAAAAGATTTATGCAGATCCCAGAAAACCACAAGCAAAGCAGTTTTTGAGAACCTCCATTTTAGTGACTTAAGTGGACCCTTCTCAGTGTTATCAAGTTGCTGGCTTCTGTCCAGTGGATGTAAATTCCAACTGTACGAACTGATGTTCCATAGGATCCCGTGATGCTATGAGTTAATATATTTGAACAACCAGCTTTGTTTGCTGATTCTTTTCAGCATCAAATTTGCCTTGGTTTCTAAATGTGTGAAAAATAATCTGGGTAATTGACAGGAGTGCAAGTTCTAAGAGTCCTAAAGGAACGGCTTCCTTCCCAGCCCCAAATCCTACCTGTCCTCCAAAGGTCTCATGCTTTTGCTCTACCCCACTTTTGCCAGTAACATTAATCCAACTTTCCCTTCAAACCTCACAGACTCCCTGGACCAAAATCCAGAACGAGTGTCTTCTCTGGAGACACTTCCTGTTATGTGTTCCTAGCATCTACTCTCCATTCCCTGGAGCAGCCCAAAGTGTCCATCTCTACTCACATCCCTCCCTGTTTCAGCTTCCTTTGTCCAAGCCCTGCCTCCTTCTCACTCTTATAGAACCTCACTCCCTCTCTCCCTTCACTGTGCCTAATTTCACAGCGATGGGAATTCCATTTTACCTGGTGGAACATAGGAGAGCAAGACAAGGATCACAAGGACCGAGAGTAAGCTCCTCATAGCTGAACCAATCAGCAAAAAGACAGCTGAGAGGCAAGGGAGAGTCACTCTATATGTAGCTCTCAAGAGATGAGGAACTGCGTAGCTAGTGAACCTTTTAGGAACAAGAACATCTGCTTGCTCCACTGAGCAGTCCAATGAACTAAAGGTCTGACTTTGAACGTAACATCTCACCATTAAAATACACTTCCCTTCCCAAGTGCCACTTGCATGCTGGCAACTGAATTCACACTGTGTGAACAACCCTATTCTAGGTCTTGGTAGGGTACTGTGTATGTATCTTTGTACCTTCATTGTACATCCATTTAACAAATGCCTATAGTGTGAACAGAACTGTAAGGCTACCTTGTGTAGTTGATAAAGTGTTTTCAATAGTTGTTTCCAATCTCTCTCTCTCTCTTTCTCTCTCTCTCTCTCTCTCTCTCTCTCTCTCACACACACACACACACACACCCAGGTAGATATTATTCTCCCATTTTAAAAGCAAAGAACATAAGGCTCAGGTGGAATAAATGACTTTCCCAAGTTCACACAGATTGTAAATGTCAGCAACATAACTCATACATACATTTTCCTGACTCCTGTATGCAGAATTAAAGGATGGCCGGCCCAGTTCTAGTGTACCTGCAATCTATTTAGGGAAATAAGATGTTCCCAAAAAGCATGATCAAATCCCTATAACACCATCAACATGAGTCTGGAGAGCACACTGAGTCTTACAGCTCCCCACTGAGCAGCTGGTACATGCCAGACCATGTGGAATAGACAAAGAATTTATGATAGAACTCTCGGCTTTGAGGGACTGAAGGTCAACAGAGCTTGACAGTTTACAAAGTGTTTTAAGCTTTACAAAAGCTCTATCTGATATTGTATGAATAATATAGAACCCAGAATTAGACAACCTGAGTTCTGATCTTGACTCAGCTTGATGAGCTTTCAATAAAGCACTTGCTTCACCTCTCTAAATGTCAGTTTTCTCACCTGTAAAATAGGTTGCACACCATCAGTGCTACCTATCACAAAAGCTTGTTATGAGGTCAAATGAAGCAATTATTGTGAAAAGTCCTTATAAAATGTATGTTTACCAGGCTATCAGACCATATAACAGAAGAAGACACTTAAAAATAGAGGTGGTAGAGGTAGTACTCCTCCAACTAGAAAGTGGAAGAGCCAGTACAGGAGCCAATTCTTTCATCACACTGACCTGTGTTTTTTTCATCATATAAAATATATATGCAGTTTGTGATGTCGTTGAGATTACATATCTGTGGAAGGCTCATAAAAGGACTGCAGAACAAAAAATCAATAAGTAGAGAAAGAGTGGAATACATGAGTTTGGAGGACCCCAAAGGGATATTTCAAGTGAGCACAAGTACACTGAGGGACACACCCCTGAGGACTACTTTCTAACCTGGAGCATTAGGTACAGCCAGATCTGCATTCTTTCACCTCATCTGGCTCTGATCTCCTCTTATCCAACAAACCTCCTTGGCCCTCAACTCTACTCCTTCCAATGTTCCCTCCAGAACCCCAATTCCTTCTACTTTACATTTTCTCCCCAGCACACCCTTCCACTTCTGTGTCCCAGTGAAATGCTGAGTTCTCCTCTGAGGAGACTGCTTCCTAGCAGCACTTGGTGATTGGAGGCTGTTCATCTGCTGAGACTCCACACACCATGGGACAGACAAGCAGCATTTCACAATCTTGTAACAGTCCCATGCTATTTACAGAACAATATCAGACATGATCCTGATACATCCTTTCCCTCACCCCACCCACATTGAATTGTTCATCAAATCTTACCAATTCTACCTCCAAAACATAGCTCACACTCATCCGTTTCTTGCCATCTCCACCACCACCACACAATTTAAGGCATCACCATCTGACACTAAACTAATTAAATGACCTCCTAACTGGTCACCCAGATCATTTTTACATATTTACCATTCATCATTCTTGCAGAAACCAAAATGACCTTTATAAAACTGAAATTGGATCATGCATTTTCCCTGTGTAAAAGCTTTCATTGGCTTTCTATTGTGCTAAAGTAGAAACTGCTTATATAGATGACAAGGTCCAGCCTGATCTGGCCTGTGGTTGCCTCTCCCAGACCAACTCCTCTCATTCGTCCACTCACTCACTGTATTCCACTCTACTGGATTTTACTTTTCTCAAACATGCTCACCTCAAAGCTTTCACATATGCTGTTCACACCTCCTGGAAATCTGCATCACCCTCTCCCAATCTTCACCTAACATTTACTCATTTCAAAGGATAGTATCAGTCTCTTCCACAGAATGAATTTTCCTCAACGTTCCCCACCTAAATTATATTCCCCCTCATTAATTTCTCTCATAGGATCTTTTTTCATCATTAGCTGTTACAATTGGAGCACTAAAATATTGGAATTCTATACTTCTGTGTTTATGTTTTTCTTGATTTAATATTTTCTTCCTCCACTTGACCATAAGCTCAATGAGAGCATGAACTATCACTTACAAATGACATCATATCAACTAAATCCAAATTTTTTCTAGAACACTGTACTAGTTTCCTAAGGCTGCAATAACAAAGTACTACAAATTGGGTGGCTTGAACAAAAATATATTGTCTCACAGTTCTGGAGGCTAGAAGTCTGGAATCAAGTTGTCTGCAGAGTTGGTTCTTTCTGAGGGCTGTGAGAAAATGATCTATTCCAGACCTCTCTCTTAGCTTCTGGTAGTCTCAGGCATTCCATGGCTTACAAATGATGTTCTCCCTATGTCTTCACATTTTCTTCCCTCTATATGTGTCTCTGCCTGTGCCCAAATTTGCCCTTCTTATAAGGACATAGTAATATTGGATTAGGACCCACTTTAACGACCGCATCTTAACTTGATCATCTGCAGAGACCCTATTTCTGCATAAGGTCACATTCACAGGTACTGGATGTTAGGATTTCAACATCTTTTGGGGAAAACAATTCAACTCATAACAAGCATTAACCTTCCATCTTCCTGGGTAATATCTATGATCCCAACGACATCACACAATTTTTTTTCTATAACATTAATTGTTATTTTTTCCTCCACCATACTACACAGAAGAAAAGCCATCCACTGAACTGCTTCTACTCCTGCGTTTCTGAAAGCCACTGGAGAACATCACACAATCCTGCAGGCAGACTGAGTTTAGAAATTACGTCATTCCTTTGACATATCCTAGTCAATCTCAGATGCTATTTGACCTCACTACCCACCACAACCCATTTTCCATTCAGCAGATTATTTTGCTTTCTATTTCAAAAAGAAAATAGAAGTTAGAGGGTTACAGGGTTAACCCCATAGTAAAACCACCTATATCATGAAATAGAACTTTGAAGCCACCCCACAAACCCCTCCATATGCACCCATCTCAATCATAATCCCCCCATGTTACCACTAGCCTAAGTTTTATTGTAATCATGTCCTTGAATTTCTTTATGGTTTTATCACCCAATAGTGCATTCCTACAAATTAAAATTTCGTCTTCCCATTTTTTATTTGGTATGTCTTTTTGGCCTCTTTTTATCTATGCATTCTTCCTCCTGCTCTCTTACAATTTATCTGTTGAAGAACCTAGGACAGTTGAGCTGCAAAGTTACCCACAACCTGGATTCTGCTTATTGAATACCCACTCATGGTGCAGTTTAACTCATACCTCTGTCCTCGTATATCCTGAAAATTTATAGCTAACTCCAGAGGCTTCATCAGACCCAGGTTCCATCTCTTTAGAAAGAGTATAAGTTTTCTTGTGTCTTTTCATCAGAAGGCTCACAATATCTGGTTCTCTCTCTTTTTTGTGCTTTCAGTAACCATTGATACTCAATGCAACCATTGATACTCACCACCTGGATCCATTAATTGATCAAGGATTGCAAAAGGGTGATATTCTAATTTTCAATGGCATTTTTTTACAGAAATGGAAGAAACAAATTCTAAAATCTGTGTGCAACCACAAAAGATCCCAAATAGCCAAAGCAATGCTGAGAAAAAACAAAGCTGGAGGAATCACACTTCCTGATTTAAAACTACATTACAAAGCTATAGTGATCAAAATAGTATGGACCTGGCATAAAAATAATCACATGGACTATTGGAACAGCATCAAGAGCCTAGAAATAAACCCATGCATATACAGTTAACTAATATTTCACAAGGGAGCCAAGAATACTTAATGAAGAAAAGGTCATCTCTTTGATAAATGGTGCTGGGAAAACTAGATAGTCATATGTAAAAGATGAAACTTACCTCTGTCTTATACTACTCACAAAAATTAACCCAAAATAGGTTAAAGACTTAAACGTAAGACTTGAAATCATAAAACTTCTAGAAAAAAAAACAGGGAAAAAATCTTCCTCACATGGGTTTTGGCAAAGATTTTTTAGATCTGACACCTAAAGCACAAGCAAAAAAGTTAAAAACAAGTGGGACTACATCAAATTGAAAAACTTCTGTGCAACAAAGGAAATGATCAACAAAATGAAAAGGAAACCTACAGAATTGGGAAAAAATATTTGCAAGCTACATATTTGATAAGGGGTTAATATCCAAAGTATATAAGGAACTCATACAACTCAATAACAAAACAAAAAATCAAATAATCCAATTAAAATATGGGCAAAAGACCTCAATAGACATTTTTCCAAAGAAAACAGTTAAATTGTCAACAGGTATGTGAAAGGTAGCCAACATCACTAATCACTAGGGAAATGCAAATCAAAACCACAATGAGATATCACTTCATACATATTAGAATGGGTATTATCAAAAAGACAAAAGACAACAAATGCTGGTGAGGATGTGGAGAAAAGGGAATCCTCAAAATGTACAAGCTTCCAGTCACAAGGTAAATAAGTTCTGGGGATGTAATGTACAACATGATAACTATAGCTAACAATACTTTTTTGTGTATTTGAAATTTGCTAAGAGAATAGATCTTAGAAGTTCTCATCACAAGGGAAAAAAATTGTAACTATGTCAGGT